TATTTAATGTATTAATATGTGAAAATTAGCACCATTTCCTTCTCCACTTATAGCTTGTCTATCAAAACAGACCTTAGAAAAATAGTTGAGTTTGTTCTAGCTTCCATCTAGGATGTGGAAAGCTGAAGAGAATGGTGCCTCAATCTTCAAACAAGAAAAAGCTGGATCAGCTACAAAACCCTAACTGTCCTTGCACTCATCAGGGACCTGAGTAGGAAGCCAACTGGCAAGAACTCAAAGAGGAAATGGGACATGAGTGCTTACTTTCTGAGCCAGAACACAGGAGGGAAGTGGCACTACCACACAAGCCATTAAGGTTTTAGCTCAAATTTTAAATTTTACATTTCTAAAGGCTGAGTTGAGGCTAGTGTGAGTATGGAATCCTTGGAACCACAGATAAAAGCAGTGTTCACACCCACTCACCAGATTTTCTCCATGGGCTTCCAACGTCATGTTATGAACATTTGGGGTCAGGGTAGGGATTGCTGAATAATGATAAGAGTCAATTCACCAAGAAGACATAACAATCCTAAATGTGTATACATTGTAAATACAAGAGGAAGGAACATTTTCCAACTCATTTGATGAGACCAGCTTTACTCTGATATCAAAATCAGACAAAAACATTACCAGGAAAGAAAAAACATAAAGCACCATCTCATGAATGTAGACACAAATGTTCTTAACAAAGCATTAGCAAAATAAACCAAAGAAACTAAAAATGGTAACTCATCATGACCAAGTGGGATTTAGTCCAGGAGTGTGACCAAAACCAAAAAACCAAACTCACAGCCCTGGAGTCAATTCAAATCATAGCGACCCCTCCTTCGGTTTCCGAGGCAGTATCACTACGGAAGTAGAGTGCCCAACCTTCCTTCCAAGGAGTGGCTGGTGGGTGTGAACCGCCAGCCTTCTGGTTAGCAGTCAAATGCCATAGGCACTACACCACCAGAGCTCCCACAGGAGTGCAACACTGATTCGTTATTCAGAAGCTACTCAAAATATTTCACAAAATCAAGTCTAAAGAAGTAAAACAATATGATCCACACAATCAATACAGAAAAAGTCTTCAAACAACTCCACAACCATCCATGATAAAAACTCAGCAACCTAGGAAAAGAGGAGGCAACGTCCTCAACTTGGAAAATGTCATCTACAGAAACCTGAGTAGCTGGAATAATTCCCAGTGAGGAGAGAATGCATGCTTCCTTGGAAGACTGGGAATAATATCTCTTTGCATCCATCTGGGAATGCCAGCCTAGGAGAAGATGAAGCATCTCTCTGAAATCTTTGTAAAGGACATGACCTGGCTTCCCCTTACCATCTTCCCACTGCTGTTTCCTTAGTTCAAACCCCGTAATATATCATCATGCCCCTATCTGGTCTCCTTGCCTCAACTCTTTCTTTCTCCTGTTCAATTTGCCAAATGATATTTCAAAAATGAAATTTGTATCAGGTCACTCTTCTGTTTAAGAATCTTTCAATACTCACTTGCTGCTCTCAGGTTAAAGTTCAAATGTAGTTCAGCACTCCATTCCCTCCAGGGTATACCTGTGTTTGCCCCAGTCTCCTCCTCAGTACCTCCCGTCCTCTGCCCTGCATATTGCAGGTTGGGCCCCCAGTCATTCTGACACACCATGCTCTCTCCCACCTCTGCCCCTTTGCATAGGTTGTTCTTCGGTTGTGCTGTTTGTCTTGGGGAATAACTGGGTCTCACTTTTCAGGTCTGAACTGCAGGTTCCCCTCTTACAGGAAGTCTTCTACCATCACTCCAATGGGCTCCTGCAGCCGTCTGGGCATGCTCTCATACTCTCACGGTAACAACCACCCCACTGCACTGTAACTGCTTCATCATAACCCCATGGGCTCACTCTCATGGAACGTGGAGCACACGGCACCATAACTACTTCATTGGCTGTCCACCCTGCTGTGCAGGCACATGCTTGATTGCCAGGACCATCTTTTACTGGCTGTTGTGTCTCATGACCACTCATGGTCACTGGCACATAGTAGAAACTCCATTGGCATTTCTTGAATTAACACCCAGAGAAACTTCATCCACTGTTACGCATTGGCTTGGGTCCTCCAGAATATGTGTTATGAACCCTAACACCCATATTTGCAGTTATAATTCCATTGGGGAATGGCTTTTCTTTGTTATAATGAGCAGGATTAGTGTTGGTTATGTCTTCAATCAATCTCTTCCGAGATACAAAAGAAGAGAGTAAGCAAGGATTAAGCAAGCAGAGATGAGGAAGATGGGTGCCATGCCACATGAAGATCTCCCAGGAACAGGAGCTGCAAAGAGACAAGGGCCTTCCTCCAGAGCAAACCTTCCGCAAGAGCCAGCACCCAGAATTCATACTTTTAGCCTCCGAACTGTCAGAAAATACATCTATGCTTGTTAAAGCCAGTCACTTGTGGTATTTGTTACAGCAGTACTAGAGAACTAAGACAGTCACTATCAACACTTTGTGGGGTGCTTGCTGACAAAATTGTGTATGACATCAATTTCAAGGTAAAAGTCAGCTGTCAAGTGGAGTTGGCTTCTACAAGCCTCAAGCCTATTAGAACCCTGAGGTGCTGTGATATTCTGATGGTGAACAAATGGAAGAACTGCAAGTCACCCCACTAAAAGGGACAAGGGGTGAAAGGAGGACATCTTCTGAGACTCTACTAAGGGAGTGAGAAGATGGGCTGTTAGACCTTTCCACTTCCTTACTCTCACTTGTCGCTTGTGCCATCATTTCTCCCTACTCTTACCTTATTTAGGTTTTCATCAGAAATAAGGCCCACTTCCAGCCCAGAACATCTCAGTAGGGTCTTGTTACATGCGTAGAGGGAGGTAAGAGGACAAGAAGGAAGTGAAAAAGGAGGGTACCAGAAGGTACTAGAAGGCTTTTAATATGAGACTTGAGGATACCATCTGCACAGGTCACTGCCCCGTCCTGACTCCCAGAACTTTACGTTAAAGCTGTGCTACGTTCCACTGGCTTTGCCCAAGGAATCTGTTCTTTCACAGATCAACTATGTCTTTGGCATTTTTACATTTATCTCCTATCTTGTGTGTTTGTTTGTTTCTAAAGTCTCAGAGAAAGAATTTGCTGATTTTCCAGAGATTGGACAGCTTTCACATCCTGCTTGGTATCCCTCCTATATACAGTCAGTTTCCTCTCAAATTGTGTACTATGTACTAGTATTGAAACTTTATTTTTCTTAGGTCAATAAAGCCACTGTGTACAAACAACCCTTGATTGTGTCATTATCAGGGTGAAGCAAGAACTGTAGCTGATGTCTGATGTCCCACTGAATTAACGCCACCATCCAGACAAGGACATCATGTCCATGTGCTGTAGGTCCTGCACAAAAATACTTTAATCAGTAGTGGTCACAATGCTCTCCCAAGATTACCTCAGAGTAATGACTCACACAATTCCTGGCTGTGACTACACACACCATCATTATGTTTAGTGAGTCTTTAAACGAGAAAATGCATTCTGTTCCCAGTAGGAGCACCATTAAAGTTTTCAAAATGTGGATGGATACAAACCACTGGTCCAAGGCTGGATCCATGAATAGGTCCATGAGTTCAATTTATGTGACAAATGAAAACAGGAAAACCACTTTGCTTGTTTCGATGCCCTCAGTCCTCAGAAGTGGAGGTGGACTAAGAGTCTAACACAGAAGCGCTTAACTTCACAGAACATGCTGCTCTGGCACATAAAATCCCCCACATGCCGCACCCCAACACAACCACTCAGCCTCCTACACAGCATCACCAGTACGTGTGATGTCATCGCCTTCATGGTTGCCAGGGCAATGCAGTCTATGCCTGTCATATCTGAGTTGGGTGGAGAAAACAGAGGCAAAGCTCTTCTCTCTGTGTGAGGCTCATGATTCATCAAGTTGCCAGTTTTGATGTTAACTCAGAAAACTGTCCTAAGAGCTTCTGCCCGGCTCCCTTCACCTCCTTGTTCCTCAGACTGTAAATCATGGGGTTCAGCATGGGGGTTAAAATGGCATAGAAGAGTGAGATGAGCTTCTCCTGGAGGACTGAGGGGCTGGAGTGAGGCTGGATGTAAGTGAAAATGGCCATGCCATAGCACAGCGCAACCACCGTGAGATGAGAGGCACACGTGTGGAAGGCTTTCCTCCTTCCTTCTGTGGACGGGATCTGCAAGATGGTGGAGATGATCCGAACATAGGACAAGAGAACCAGGCAGAAGGGTGTCATCAGCAGGATGATGCTGGACACCATGATTGCAACCTCATTGGAGGACGTGTCCACACAAGCCAGCCTGACCACAGCTAGGGTCTCACAAGATATATGATCAATGAGCTTGTTTGTGCATGTAGGAAGCTGAAAAGTAATGGCAGTATGCAAGAGAGAGTTGATGGAGCCACTGACCCAGGATGAGACGGCCAGCTTAATGCACAGCCCTCCATGCATGATGGCCGAGTATCGCAGGGGGTCACATACAGCCACGTAGCGGTCATACGCCATCACTGCCAGGAGAACAAACTCAATCCCACCCAAGCCCAGGGAGAAAAAAAGCTGGGCTGCACAGCTGAGGTAGGGGATTCCTTTATGTTCAGTAAGAAAATGCACCAACAGTTGAGGGACTATGCTCGTGGCATAAGACACGTCCACAAGGGAGAGGTTGGTGAGGAGGAAATACATGGGTGTGTGCAGTCGGCTGTCCAGTCTGATCAGAAGAATAATGAGAAAGTTCCCGAGCACTGTCACCAAGTACATGACCAAGAACAGGACAAAGAGTGAGACCTGAGTGTTCCAGTCACTGGACAGGCCTAGGAGAATAAATTCACTCACCCACGTCTGGTTATTTCTTCCCATCAAAAAAAAGCGAGGATGTTCATTTGCAGAGAGAGAAATAACAGAAGTTGTGGAATCAGAGAACGATGAGAAAGCAAGTTGTGTATGTCCGGCTTCACGTGGCTCAGAGCTTCACGAGGCCCACATGATGGGCTTGGTCCCAATTGCACTACATCTGCTCTGTAGCAGGGAGACAGGCCAATGGCTTCATAAATACCTGATCTGGACACAAGGAGGCCCAGTTGAAGTCTATACATAATGCAACGAACTTTGTGTTTCTTTGCATCTTGCACAACTTGTCTCATAGTCTCGGGCTAGGAGACGAGAGGATGGCATAGCAGGGATACATGACAAACAATAAAGAAAAGCATCGTTAAGAAGTTAAGGAACTCCCTTAAAAATGTCATCTACTCCAAACATAAGGAAATGTGCAAATCCATTACAAGCAAAAGGATTGGGGAGAGTCAGCTACATAGTGGAAATGATGTAAATGGCTTGTAGAAAGGTCTGGCGTCCAAGAACCTCAACTTGAATCCTGTTTTTATGACTTGTCATATGTGTAATTTGGGTTGGAGACTTAACCTCTCATTTAAAAAATGAGATCATATTACATAGTTCACAAGTACGTTTAAGCTTAAATGTAAATGTTTTTTGGGAAAGTACTTTGTAAATTATTACCGATAGCAATTACCAGAGAGTAGCGGCAGTTTTCACAGTTACATGACCTCTGGCCACTCTGGTAGCAAATGTACCTTCCCTCCCATCCCCTCCAGAAGTTCAGGAATATTTTTAAACAAAGGGTGCTAAGCTTCCCTTAAGGAGCCCTGGTGGCACAACATTTAAGTACTTGGCTGCCAACTGAATGGTTGGCATAGTGTGAACTCACCACAAGGCCTCACAGGAGAAAGTCCTGGCAATCCACTCCTCAAAGACTACAGCCTAGGAAGCCCTGTGGGGCAGCTCTGCTGTCACACGGGGTCTCTAGAAGGCACCATCTACACAATGGCGCCTACAACAACAACAGAGAGAAGCTTTCATTGCTTTGAGGTCTTAGAGATGGCTTGCATCCTTTGAGGCTGCTGAGAGATTTTTGGTTTTTCAGACTTATGTCTCTTCAGTCTCTGATTGGAGGCAGTTAATCTGTCTTTTACTTTTTTCTCTTTTTAATTGCTTGATGTGAAGATTCTACTCTGTGGATGTGGACTCAGAAGAAAGAGAATAGGAAATGGATGCTTAGTCTTTCTTGAATAAAAGATGGAAGAGAAAGCAAATGTTGGCTGTGCCTTTCCCCTTATCTGGGGCAAGATGGCATGAATTATGTGGATGTACATTCACCTGGAGTGTCCCGTGCTGGTCTCTCTCTCTCTCTCTTTCTCTCTCTCGATAGTACTTTATTGAACAGAAGTAAAATGTTTATTTTAAATATGACAGCAAGAAGTTGCTTTGGGGACAGAAATTCATAAGCCTGATCTATTACTATTCCATATTTGCCTGTTGACTAACTTCCCTTTCACTGCAGTGAGCAAAAATAAGGGAGAGTAGGAGATAAAAGAGGCAGGCAAGGTTCAGGGCAGAACCCGAGGCTCTTAGTTCATCCCAGGCCCCACACAGAGGTCAGACTGGGGTAGGTGAGCTGAAGAATGAACACTGCCTACCCTTCGAGTCTCGTTGCTTATGAAGGACCAAACAAAATGCTTCCAGCAATGCCAATGCATACGCAGTTCAAATAGTCACCACTCTTTCTTATACATCTCTTTCCTAATGTCCACCTCAGTGCCTGACCTCCTTTTCAACAGTTCTTCCTTTTCTACCCTAAGATGATAGCTCCACCCTTCACTTTCTCCATTTTAACCAACATCACCCTGAGTAAACATCTACCTGCCTCAAAGCAGAAGTTCAAATTCAAATTCTGAGGCATCAGAAAATGACTCATGAAAACATCTGTTAACTGCTGACTATACAGCAGATGTATCAGAAGTAGACAACTGTTTCAAATACTTGGTCAAACATCTGCAAAGTGTCCTCCTTACTAGATATTGGGATTTTAAGTGTAAATATTCCCAAGGGCAAAATACAGTAGCTAAATTAAATACATTCTTAATGGTAAATTCTCAGGTAGGGATTTTTTTCTGTTTGTTGAAAATATCTGGTATTTGGAATCATGAATGTTAGCCATCTCCCAATTAGTCTGTTATCATTTACAGACGCTCTCGCCAGGTGACCCTCTAGGTGGGAATCCATCAATGCCCAGCTCCTTATAGCTCTGCCGGGTGCCTGAGAGGCCAGAGCATAGCCCAAGTAGCAACAGGACTTTTCAGCAAAAAGCAGATCTCACCAGATACCTACCACATCTCTCCAGATCCCTGCTCCACTAGTAATGAGAAGACCTGGAAGAATCTATGAGCAGTGCTCATCAGGAGAAAGGTAGAAAATCTGACACACAGACAAAACCAATAAAATCAACACCACTTTTCCCTCATAATGCCACACAGTCAGGATTATCACTTTCAGCTCTCTCATCTTCAGATGTTTCTGTTAACAGAGCTTATCAACTTTTAATATTTTCTGTTTATTAGCATTGAGTTTCCATTGCTACTGTATGCACAAATGTTCCAAAGTACTTGATGTATCTGTGCAGGGAAGGAAGTATCCAAGTCTTGATACTTGAGTCCTGTTCCCATTTTGCAATGTTCAGCCCACATTCTACTATCCTATCCCAGTGGGTCTGTTCCAAGTTTAAGAACTATCTAAGAGCATTCACTTCTATTGCCTGCCAACAACAGTGAATCCCCTTATACCATTTATCCCCTATTAGGAAAAGAGAAGTAGTGAATTGGGAAAAGTTGGAAGTGTGCACACATTGTCAGATTCCTCTACATCTCACATTTTGAAACTCCACTGTATTTCAGAATAATGGTCTATTCCACAATTCAACAATAATACCAATTCAATGAGTGCATGGCTGGATAAAATCTTATCTCAGCCTCAAAAGTCAAATCCCAAACTCAAAGAAGCTTAAGATTGAGGCTGTTGCCCAAGTGGCCTACTATCTGTTACTGAGATGGTGCCCTATAGCCTTTTTCTCACCTGAATTTTGTTACACACATCTTTACTAACACTCCATCCAGCACAATTGAGAGATTTCACCAGTCATGCTTTACATTCCTGATCCAAAGTCCATAATGAGTCGAATCAATTCTATATCTGCACCCCCATCCAAGCCTCCACATCCACCCTTGCTGACACCTCCACTATGAGCTCTCCAACACTATTCAGCATCTGACAAAAAGGACACATTTCTTTGCTCTTGGTTTGAGCTGGTTTCTGAAGATTGCTTCCTTCCAACAAGGCGGTGCAGCATCGAGATTAGGTATCCAGGTTCCTTAGGCTCCCAGACTCAGAAATCTCCTGGGACTAGTTCACATTGTGAGGCGCCCTGCTGGGAGGAAGTTGAGATGTTGGATGTTGAGAATGACTAACTCAGAGCTAATCAAGGCTGCATTGATTAGTGACACAAGGCTGGAGAGTCCCAGAGGAGCCTCTTGCATTAGAGTCTTAATTGCTGTCATTGCTCCTAGCCCTCAAGGGCAAGGGTCTCAGATGCTGCCCTTCCTCCCTGTGGAAGCCTGTTGTCCTCCAGTCCCTCCCCTCCAACACTTCCACTGCAGCCTCAAGTCAACCTCAAATGTAAGAGAAGCCAGCTCCTGAGGTTGGGGGTGTTCTCCTGGAGCCCAAACCCATCTTGTAGCCCTCAATGTCCGTGCTCTCACAAGCAGTGAGAGGAACTGCTTCCATTGCAGCTGAAGGACTCAACTGCTCCCTTTGGCTCTTGGATTCCTTTACCTCTCCTCCTGAGATATCTGCAGTCTGTCTGCTGTGAGCCTTCCACATTCTGATGGACACCCTGATACATTTATCAGTGTAGTGTTTAAGCTCCCAAAATAGCAGTATCACAGAGAAAGATTTTAAACTCTGAATCTACAAAAATGTGGTAAAGGGAATTTTACAGAAAAAAAAAGAAGAAGAAGCAAAGTCATACAGATCTTACACAAAAGGGGCATCTCTGCTCATTTTCAATTTTTCTTTTACATTAGATTTTTTTTTTATTTTGAGATAACTGTGCATTCACACGCACCTGTGAGAAACAATATAGTGAGAGCCTTCATGCTTTCAACCCTGTTTACTCCAATGATAGGTAGCATCTTACAAAACTACAATAAAATGTCACAAGTAGGATACTGACCTGGATGCAGCCAGGATACAGGACATTTCTGTCACCACAGGGTCCTTCTGGTTGCCTTTCCTAGCCACATCCACTTCCCTCTCACCTCTACCACTATGTGTTCTCCAATGCTATAATTATGGCATTTTGAGAATGGTATGTGAGTGGAATCATTGGGTGGATAGCCATTTGGACTAGCTTTTTTCACTCAGCATTGCCGCGGTCCAGCCGAGGGAAGGGGAGAGCCGAAGATGAAGAACAAGGAGAGGCTCAGACTGATGATCTGAAGCAAAGCTTTATTTTTTGCAGACATAATATATCTATTCTGAGTTCAAAGGCACAGTCATAAACTTTCTCAAAACTTCTTGTTCTTTCCCACGTACACTATACCCCAAGATTCAACTTGTTAATCATATCAGTTCTGATAGAAACTCCCTGTTCTTAATAAACATTCTTGTCTGAGAACTGGGAGCATGAGAAGAATAACTTGTACTTGCACCTGCATGCTCAAGGACAAACTTATTTGCAGAGTACAAAAAAACTGCTTGCACATCTTCAATGCTGCATAAGCAAAACAGCATAACCTTGGAACTCTAACAAAGTCCCACACAGCATAACTCTCTGGAGAGCCATCTCAATTATGAGTTCATCAGTACTCCTCTCCTTTCTACTGCTGAGGACTCTACAGTACAGATAGACCACTGTTTGCTTCAACAATCACCAGTTAAAGGGTATCTGCATGTTTCTAGTTTTTGATGACTATGAATGAGACTTCTACAAGCATCTGTGTACAGGTTTT